GCCAGATAGATCGAAAAGCTTGGAGGAGGTGGCAGAGGAGTATCTAAAAGATCTTATTGATAGAAATCTGATTACGGTTCGTGAGTTGTCCTATAGTGGTGAAATCAAAACCTGCTGCATCCATGATGTCTTGAGGGACTTCTGCCTGAAGAAAACTATGGAAAAATTCAATTCAGATGTTGGGAATCTTCCAGAAGTCCATGAAAATCTTCGTCACATTAGTATTCTCGCAGAATTGAAGTATCAAATACCCAAATTTGATCTTGTACACAATCGTGATTTGCGTGTCCGTTCTGTTACGTATTTTTTTCGCAATAGCCTGTATGATATACATTTTGTCAAGAGTTTTCGGCTGCTGAGGATATTGGATGCACTCACAATATGGTTTGACCAGTTTCCTGCCGAAATAGTAGAACTGGAGACTTTGAGGTTTATTGCTTTGACCTACTGGGCAAAGCATATGATCCCTTCATCAATATCCAAACTTCGCAATCTGGAGACGTTAGTGATTAATCCCGGGAAACTCAGATCCATCTTTAATACATCATTCCTACCACTGGAAATCTGGAAGATGTCACGATTGAGGCATATCTTGTTCGTGAGAAGTTTCTTGCCTTATCCTACTGATGCACTAAATGGGGGAACTATTTCGCCCTTGGAAAACCTACAAACACTAACCAATGTTATGAACTTCAGATGGACAAAGGAGGTCATTCAAATGATGCCGAACCTAAAGAAATTGGTAATTTCGTACGAGCATGATGGGCGAACTGAATGGTCATCCTATTGTTTTGACAATTTTGTTCATCTTCTTCAACTTGAAGTTTTGAAATGCTTCTTTTTTGTGAAGTCTTATGTAAAATATCAGGTTCCTCTTCCAGTGAACTTTACTTTCCCACGAAAACTCAAAAGGTTAACTTTGAGTGGCTGCAGAATATCTTGGAACAGCATGACTATTGTTGGTTCCTTGTCCTATCTTGAAGTGTTGAAAATCAAATACCATGCCTTTGAAGGCCCTGTTTGGGAATCAAACGATGGGGAATTTCGTCAATTAAAATTGCTCCTCATTCAAATGACTGATCTGGTGCACTGGAAAGTTGATGAAACGCACTTCCCAAGCCTTGAGCGCCTTACTCTTAACTACTGCTACAACCTGGTGGAGATACCTTCTGGAATTGGGAAAATTCCAACTCTTCGAAAAATTGAGTTGTGTGGATGTAGCACATCTGTTGTCACTTCAGCAAAGGTCATAGAAGAAGAAAAAACATGCTTGGGAAGCAATGGATTTCAGGTTCTTCTCTTCCTTCTTGGCCTTTACACTCCCTTCAATTTTGTTATTATTCATAGCATAATAACATGACTAAAAATCTACTTCATATAGTTATTGCTGCAGCCTTACAGAGGCTCCTTAACTTTGCCTATCTCTATTAGTAGTTGCATTTACCAAATATGAACTTGGCAAAATCATCTATAAAAAATAAAAATAAGTGAAACAGCAAATTTTCAATTTGTATAATTTTCTGGTTAAAATTTAGAGTTTGTCTTCAAAATTGGGAGAATACAAAGATATATTCTTTAAATTACAAGACTAAAGAGAGTATAAGTTCTTCAAAATTGGGTTGAATATTATGATACCAAATTAATCGCTTATACTGTCAATGTTTGGAGTTTCCCTAATAGGTTGTGCTGAAAGAAGAGGATACTAATATTTCTAGCTAACGAAGGGGAAAAGAAGACGAAGTTGCAATGTTTGTTATTTCAAGTGTTTCATTGAGATTTTGTTGTTGTGGTGGTTATTTTTGTTGTTGTAGCTTATTGACACGTTTGGATTTCAAGAATAAGATGAACACTGGACTTGTACATTACTTGTTATTGGAAATAAGGAGTACTTGTTGATTAATTCCCAGATAGCACCGCGCCCAATTTTCGTCCTTAAATGAGTTCAGATTTGTTGAACGAGTTTTACCCACTCGGGCGACTTCATTACAATTAACTTGGAGGACCCTTACCGGACTTGAGAGCATATTCATCATTGCAAAAATTAGTTCTCTCAGAGAGTCAATTAAAAACGCTAGACGAAGGAGCTTGAAACTTTCCAAGCTACAAAAATGGGAAGGAACAAACACAGAAGAACACTTATCAAACCTAGCCAAGACTACCTAGTTGTGTACTACAATTCCCTAGCTTTGAA